AGCTCCGACCTCTAGTGATGGCTGCCTGAGTGCCAACGGCTGAACCTCTGACCTTCAACCTCTGCAGTCGAGCACCGGCGACCATTAACATTTATTTTTAAAAAAATAAAAACAAGGGGTCGTATTGCAAATTTATTTTTAAATTTTAATTTCATTTTGGTGGGGGTTGACTGAAGTTTTCAAATGTTTTGAAAGTTGACTGACATAAATTGGCTATAATAGTCCTTAAATGAAATTTTCCCTTAACCTTTTTTCCGTCTTATATTCCTTCCAAATACAACAAAATGATAGACAACACATAAAAATCCGCGAGTCCCACAAAAGAAAGTTACCTCGAAGTAGCAGTCTTATAAGGACCTGAGCTCTCCAACTCCAGCAGCTAGTAGACTTTAGGTGTTTTTTTCCCTAAGAACTTGATGCTAGACAAAAATGATGCATATACAAATTTTATATACACCCCCTCCTCTTATTTTATTTATAAGGCTGAGAGAAAAAGTTTTTCTTCGCTTTATTTATAAATTACGTTATTAAATTTTTAGTATGAATATATTATTTTGTCATTCATTTATTATAATGTCTTATTATTCTTTTGAAAAGTATATATAGTAAATAAGGGTAAAATTCTGGTAAAAAAAAAAGAATAAAATTAAAATGTTGTTATATTTTAAGATAGAACCAATATAAGTTAAGAATTCTTTTATTTATGTGGAATATGCTCAAAATGCTTTATAAATAGGACCCAGGAAGGAGTATATATGGATCTAACTAATTAAACCACACAAATATTACTCTCAAGCACTCAAAAAATGGAAGAGAGGCAAAACAGAAGACCTCATTGTCTGGTTTTGGCTTTCCCAACACGAGGGCACATCAACCCATTGCCCTTATGGTAACCAAGCAGTTTGTGTAAATCTAAAGTAAAATACATTCACCTCCCCTCTATTTTGGGGGGGGGGGGGGGGGGGGAACCATGTAAGACGCTCTTAAACTTGAAATGCATGTTACACTATAACCTCCTTTTTAATCTTAAGATTCACTTTCATCCATTTAGTTAAAACTATAAGAATTTATGAAACTATATAAATTGGTATTTTTAAAGCTAAATTACATAAATTTCCTTGAATTTTGTTATCTCGAGTAAATTAAAAATATAAACAACAGTTTATTTTAAAATAAAACTAAAATCTAAAAGCGTTTTTACTTTAGAATTTGTTATCCTATGTGCATATAGCTAGCCACTTTATTTTACCAACCCCTTCAAACTGTAAGTTTTATATAAATAAAGATAATCCCCTTAACGTAGGAGACTTGATTTATTTTGTACGAGACTTGATTTATGAATCCTGTCAGCAAACATATTTTCCTTGAAAACTGTTAATTAATTACATGTTTTGAACATATTAGGTGGCTGACTGCCAAACAAAACTCTTCCCTCCAAGACAAAAGGGTCCAACCATACCATCAATGTTCTTAGACAAAAAGACTCAGATGACTAAGCCTATGGTTCATCAGCTTTTACGATGAAGAAGACGAAGCTTGCATGAAATGGTAAAGCAACAAGCCATGTGGGTCCGTAGTTTATGTCTCATTTGAAAGTTTAGTAGCTCTTGACATTGATCAAAATAGTTTGGGCCTTGAAGGATGGTGGAACTTACTTCTTATGGTTGGTAAGAGAATCAGAGAAACCTAGGCTTCCTAAGGACCTCTTGGAGATTTCAGAACACAAGGGACTTTTCGTTGTATCTAAATTAAAAAGAAACAACACCAGTTTTAGAGTGACTATTCTTTGAAAAATCATTAAAAAAATTGAAAACAGCACCATTTTTTGTTCAAAATATCAAAATTTCATTCGTTTTATAAAATCTAATGTAAAAGAAAATTGAGGGGCAGCAGAGATAGGGCAACTAACACTCCAAATCCGTCCTCAACTACAAGTATCAAATCATGTCTGTGGATTGCTTTGTGCCATATTGTGGATGGAACTCGACAGTGGAATCTTTGAGCTTAGGAGTTCCAATGCTGGCAGTTACCCACTGGAAAGACCAACCCACAGATGCAAAGTGCATAAAAGATGTGTGGAAGATAGGAGTGAAGGCTGAAGCTGATGAGAAAAGAGTTGTGAGAAGAGAAACAGTGAAGAAATTAAATGTATAGAGGAAGTGATGCAGAGTGAAAGAAGGAAGGAGATGAAGAAGAATGCCATGAAATGGAACAGTCTTGCTGCAAAGGCTTGTCATGAAGGTGGAAGTACTGATAAGAATATTGATGACTTGGTAGCCAGTTTTACTGCTTCTACCAAATTCCATTAACATGACTAAAAAAAAAAAAAATTAGTGATGATTTTTCTTAAGGGTCATCCCCATATTATTTACAATAGTTTTCTTTCTTAAGGCAAGCATAATACTAAATTACGTGACCGTAGAGATAGAAGGCTGATGAGGCTAATGTGAATCGTTTCCCTAGACCACCAGTTCCTTTGGCAGAGAGGTAGAAGGTGGATCGGATATAATAGTCCAACCCAAACTGTAGTATAAAATTGTGGTTATAATTTGTAGTTCTCTTGTTTTCTATTTGGAGGTACCTTAGAATTTTATAATGGTTGTCATAGCTTTGGTTTTGGAGATTTCTTTGTTACTGGGATAAATCTCGGGCCCATCCAATGAGATGCATGAGCATTAATTTTGATATTGATGAATGTAAATGTCAAAGTGTGGCACATTTTTGGCAGCTTTGAATGCGTATGGTGTTCTTTGGTTTTCCTTCTGGCCTGATGTCTTGAGCAGGTTGGTTTACTGTTAGAATGGGGTTGGGTTGCGTCATTAGTATCTGTTTGGAATCATGTTTAAGATCGCTTATAAATATATTTCATATAAGATAAGATAAAATTTCTTTCATATACTTACCTCCTATTCCGTAACTCTTGACTCGAAAACTACTTACAAGTCTTCCAAACAGGCAATAGATTGGTATTCAACCATGCCATGTTAGATTTTGGATGTCTAGTTTCCATTGGTCTGGAGTCATTGTGTCAATTTGGGTGTTTGGGATCTTTTATTTGCTACCTCGTGTCCCAACTATAAAAGCTAATAGCGGGTTGAATTTAATCCTAAGTATAAGACCACAATTCTTATTTATCCAGACTATCCTATTGATTGTATATGTTAAAGGAGTTTGCATCAAAAAGTAGTTTTAATCCAAATGCTTTAAGAAGTTATTTTAGGAAAACCAACATAACCTTTTTACAAATAATTATTCAACTACTTTTCTTAATTTACACAAATTAATTAAGTAGATCTTATATTAAAAACTGGAATTTGAATTTAGAAGGGTAGAAACTATGATGTTATAAATAGAATCAAATTTTAATTTTTCATTTATAAAAAAATTTTCATGTCACTAAATTATAAAAACATCTAGTGTAAGGGAGCTAGTTTGAATAAGATTCCAATGTGTTACACCGGAGTGTATCGCGCAGCTGCATATTGGACTCTGAGGGAGATGAAAAATTCGGATATTCTATCATCGTTCGAGGATATTCGCAATCTTCGCTACTAAATTTAAATAACTTCAATTTATTTTATTTTTACGATTTTACTATTTTAAAAAATAGAAATAAAAGTAGAAAATATATTTTAAATCACTGATCGGAAAAAGCCCTTGCATCATGAGGGCATCCATCAACATTTTTTTGGGTGAAATCTATCAACGCTTTTATGCCCACACAAAGCCGATCCAAAAATTTAGAAAGTGGAGCAGAAATTACAGAATAAATGTGTAATAACAATACATTATATTAGGTCATAATCTATTAATGTTTTTAATATTGATTTAAATTTAAAACAAAAAAAGAAAATTTAAACGTCCAAGTGAAATGAAAATTTTAAATCTCATCAACACTTGGTGAGAATATTGGTTGTATAGTATATTGGGTGTAACCATGTAAATAATTCGCAGGCAATCAGAATCATATTTCCTTATAAAGTTACACGTCTAGCTATATAAATATATATATATATATATATATATATATATTGGGGGTTACCTTGCTTAGAAGCATCGATCGCATTAGTAATACCCTCCTTGCACGGCCCGGCCCCTAAGCCAAGTTTATTAAAACTTCCAGCATTTTTGTCCCATTCAAATCAAATGACCTTTTTTAGATAAAAGTTTAGTTATCTCAAAGGTCATAGTCAAGAAGACCTATGCATTACGCAGAGTCTAAAAATCAGCACACTATCCAGGGTTTATAAATAAAACAACTTCCTAACTGTAACTTTTTCTACAAGTTTCCTTCTCACACTTAGGTCCTATTTAATACGAAACATTGAAAATTTGGAATAGAGATTGGGATTGGAAATGAAAAAATATATTAAAAGAGTGTTTAGTATAAGATATTACTTGATATATAAGATTAGCCAAACCCATATATGTGGTATTGGGAAATACCATGGAAGAGGTAGTATTCCCTAATCCCACTTCTATGAGTTTGTCTAATCCCATATAACAAGCAATTACTCATATTAAATACTATTGTAATGATTTTTCTTAATTATAATCACAATCCCTATCCTTTATTTTCAATGTTTTGTACCAAACGGGACCTTAATCTCCCTCCCCACCCCTCCCTCCTTTCCTTCTCTCTGCACTTGAGCCCAAAAACTCAGACAATGTACAAGTTCAAACATGAGTTTAGCAACCATTCTCTCGATGCACAATGCCCCCCAAGAGCGGATCAATATCAAATTGTGGAGGCTTCATAAGAAAACTTGACAATGTATCATTTGTCCAGTATATGAATCCATATCTCATGGAAAAATAAAAAGGAGCATCCAGACAAACCATCAAGGGAGTTACTGTCAAGTGACATTTCTTACCTTGTAACTGATATTTTTAGCACTGCACATTCTTAAACCGTAGAAGGCAATCAAACTATCTAGTAACTCAAATATTCTTCTTTTTTTAATCAGTTGATATCAACTCAAATGCTCTTTTTGATAAAATAGTCAAGGAAAATATCTGCACTGTGGACCAGAGAATTCTACCATAATATCGATACATACCTCACCCATATACATTGAGAGTCCGTGCGTGATTATATTATATTGGTGTTTCAACAATGAGAGCCCAGAGCTAGATCTAGATCATCTAAATTGTCTATTGCATTAACATTTTATTAAGAGTGCAAAGAAAGAGACAATTACGTATTAAATTGATTACACATACCCTTATTATGTACATATATGGCTTACCGTTTCAACTATTTTCTTCCCGTGCGACAATAAGTTCCTCGAAATTGGCAGCATCGCCAGGATCTGTGGGTAACAGTATCTCATCATCAGCTGTGAAATGGTATCTGCTCCCAATTGCTCTAAGAAGCTGGTACACTTCAAACATAGTGGGTCTTTCCTTTGGATTTGGTGAAACACAGTTGCATGCAACCTTGAGAAATTGGAAAATCTCCCCATCAACACCCTTCCCAAGAAGTGATTCATCAATAGCATCCTGGAGTTCAGATTTGCTTGAGAGATTTGAAATCCACTCTGACAAATTTCCCTTGAAACTTTCAGGAGCTTTCGCCACATGGGTAGGCCTCTCACCTGTCACCAACTCTAGAAGCACAGTACCAAAGCTATAGACATCCCCCTTCGGTGTAGCCACCAGCGTTCTTGTATATTCAGGAGCAACATAACCGAGGTCTCCAAACTCCCCATTTACAAAAGTACTCAGATGTGTGTCAATTGGATTCATCAATCGAGCAAGGCCAAAATCAGAAATTTTTGGCTCAAAATCTGCATCCAACAAGATGCACTTAGAGCTTATGTTTCGGTGGATAATACGAGGATTGCAGCTGTGATGAAGCCATGCTAATCCTTTGGCTGCTCCAATTGCAATTTTTAGCCTTATAGACCACTGCATGGTGCTCCGATCAGTATCAAGATGTAGCTGATCATGAAGGCTTCCATTTTCCATATATTTATACACCAAAAGCCTCTCCTGTTTGGCCACACAAAAACCTAAAAGGGAAACCAAGTTACGATGTCTAACAGTCCCCAGCGTGGCCATCTCAGACGCAAATTCCTTTTCTGAGTACTGAGATTCCTGCAACCTTTTAACCATGAGCACTGAGCTCCCATCATGAAGGACAGCTTTGTACATGGTCCCTGTTCTTGCTGAACCAATGATATTGCTTTTACTGAAGTTGTTCGTTGCCTTCATGAGATCACTCAATCTCATTTTTGAAACTGACTTTTCAAACATAGAAACCTGATGTCCAATTCAGAAAAGTTAAAGCATAATATCATCATAAAACCTGCAAAGTATATAAAACTACATAACCTGTATTACTTGTTTAACAGAATATTAAGTGTTAAAAAGTAATTTTTCAATAGCCTTTTTTAAATACTTTAGTAGCAAATGTATCATTTTCCTGGACATCCTGCTGGGGAAAAAGTAGTTTAAAAAAGAAATTTGATAACTGAAGGAAACACAAATTGAGAATAAAACTCATGTATTAGAAATGTTTTAATTAAAAAAAATTAAGAAATTAATTTCTGTCAGATATGCTTTCTACAGTGATTTTATGTTCAAGAATGTCCATGAAGACAAGAAAAATGGATGTCTCCTCCTAGTGCAACCGTATATAATATTTGTGATGCATTAATATAGCTTGCCTTTATTCCTTTCGTTCCCTTTAGACTTCTTGCCCATTTATTTCCCTCAGGATCCTCTTCCTTCTTCACAGAGACTCGGCGGACAAAGAAGAATGCCCCAATACCCAATGCTAGCGCTGCAACAGTTACCCCACCAACGGCAGCACCAGCAATAACTGCAGTGTTAGCCTTCTTACCCTGGCATGGCCCTAAGGGACCCCCACAAAGTCCTGAATTATTTGAATAGCTATCTGCTGTTATACTATCTTTGCTTTCAAAAGATGGAACAGGCCCTGTCAAAAGATTATTTGAGACAGAAAAAGTCTTAATCCGTCGAAGCTGGGCAAGTTTTGGAGGAATTTGACCAGTTAATTGATTTTGATCGAGTTTAAGGGTATTAAGATAGGAACAATTTGAAAGGCTCACAGGGATCGCTCCTGAAAAGTCATTTGATGAGAGGTCCAGGGTTACTACAAAGCCAAGAAGCTTATCAATATCTGCTGGAATGGTTCCAGAAAGATCATTGATTGAAAGATCCAATCCAGTTAAGCTTGAGCAATTTTTTATGGCACGAGGAAATTGACCCTTGAGTCCCATATTTGACAGCTTGAGGTTTAAGACTCTGTTCTCATCGTCATGCCAACACTCAACCCCAGTAAAGTGACAGATATAGCCTTCTGATTTATTATTGAAATTCCAGGAAGACTTTAAATAACCATTAGGATCTTCAAGTGAATTTTGTATGCTTTTCAAGCAGGAAATATCAACATCAGTCCCATTGGTGATGCTAATTCCAAACAGCAGCAAGACACTAATAACAAAATGAGCTCTGAAAAATCGGCTACTCGGAACCATCCCTTGTAAGATTCCGAAGAAGTCAAAACGAAATAATCCGGACAACTCAGTCAGACAGATTGGTGTTCACAGGCCACAACACAGGCTATATAAGCCACACGATAATCTTCCAAAGATCACGTCCTGAGACAAATTGAAAATAATGCAAAGAAAAGAAGCCCAATTCATCACTTCACACAAGTTCAAGCAACCTGCTAATAAAAATGAACCAGAAAAGGGGGGGGTAGCAGTAAAAACTTCTCCTTGAACCAAAATCCATACTCTACATCATTGACAGCCATGCATAGCATATGACAAGATGAATAAAAATTAGAGCCCTGGGAAAACCAGTCATAATTGACTTTGATACCAATCAATACACGCATAAACTTAAAGAAACCGGTTGAGAGTCATGCGAATTTCACTAAATTCTACAAATACTTACCAGCTTTTCGGAGAATTCAACCCAGGAAAACCGATAGAGCTTACAACTCATCTCTCAAAACAACGTGGATGCCTGACTCTGAACAGAAGAGAAGGCAAAGCATTCTGAACTGAACAAAAGAAAAATCGGAATAACCAAAGTCAAAATTGTGGAACAAAGAAACGAATATAGCAATTGAGAAGAAGGTTACCAACAAGGTTTCGAGCACGGTAGTGTGAGAAGAATCGGCAGAAATTGAGAGCAGAAACACACATCGCCGGGTTAGACAAGGAAGGTGAATGATTTTTCAAGCCCAGGGAACACTACACTGTCGGAACGCGCAGACTCTTCCGAAGTGCTTGACCGGCTGACTTGCTTTTGGTGGAAATAATGGGCAAAAGAGGGCCCAAAGAGAAAGAAAAGAAGGAAAAAAGGATTAGCAAAAGACTTTATGCTAGCTGCCCAAGCAAAAGCTTTTTGACGCGATAATTCATATTTTTTTATATTATTGAAAACTAATTTAGGAGAAATAAAAAAAAACTAAAAATTACAAAATCCCAAATCAGGTTTAGTAATAACACTTTATGTAACAACACTGAATTTACAAATAACAATAAATTTTTATTAACATTCCTTCCAACCCTTTTTTTGTCATTTTTCCTAATATTTATATTATTACTTTACTGATCACACCAAAGGAAAATGGGCATCAACGAGCTAACTTTTTTGCGTAATAACAAGTACTTTTATATTACATTTTCTTTGGATGCTACATTTTATGAAGTTAGTTAAAAATTTAATTTGATTCTATACATAAAATCTCAATCTACTTTATTTTGTAAATTTATTTATTTTTTATAAGTAATCTCCATGATGATTACAAGTGTTAAATGATTTTTATTTTAATACACATGATTAATAAGAATATTTTGTAGTAGATAACATCTATTTATTAAAAATAACTAATTTAACTAATTTTTTAATATTGAAAAAGTAATTATCTAATTTTTGTGTTAAATATTTCTCATTCGCAAATTGTGTTGATTATTATTAAGGGCTTGGTTATTATATAGTGAAAATAAAAAATAAAAAATAATTTTATCGAAGAAAAATATTTGAGTTTTTAAATGAAAATTTTAATATAACATATTGCGTATATTTTCTTAGTTGACCTACATTTATCTGTCAGCAATAAGCTTATGTGATTGAACTGTAGCAGAGATGCTTTGTCAATCTTTAGCTTACTTGCGAGATTATTAATTCATTTCAAAGAAATAAATTCAAACTTGCCTCACTCAAGAAAATTAGTTTTGTAAAACGTTACAAGAGCGCGTAACGGAAACAAACTCGAGAGGGTTCCGGAGAGAGTTTTAATAATTATATTTGAGTAAAGTATATTTATAGTATTTTAATTTTATATAATATTTTAATTTGATTTTTTTAATTTTAAAAAGTGTATTTTTAGTCTTTTAATTCTAAAATTATTATTCTTAAAAATGATGATATTGAAATTTTAAGTATAGTAAAAAATCATCATTTAAATTTTTAAATCCCAACAATTTTAGAGTTAAAGGACTAAAATTATATTTTTTAAAATTAAAAAGCCAAACTAAAATATTGTATAAAATTAAAAGACCAAATATATATTTCAATCTTTTTTTCCTATAAAAAAAAGTCATCATTTATTAACCCAAAAAAACAAAGTATACCATGGAAACAATATAGTTAATACCTATAAAAAAGTTGCAAATGATACGAAACGGTATCCCTTTTACTTGCTCAATGAAAGTTCATAATAGCTAATGAAATCAAATTAAAGCCTATATAAGAGTTGTGAATTGAGTTGTGAATTGCACGAAAGAATGATATTATTATTTGCTAAATGAAAATTGTTAATAACTAAATGTAGTTATCAATACTTATAAAAAAATTGTGAATGACCTGAAAAAGTGGCATTGTTACTTGCTAAATAAAAATTGTTAATACCTATTAAAATGTAGTCAATAGCTATACAAAAGTTATAAATGATAGGTAGTCAAAGCGAAATAGTTACTCCCTCCATCTTTTTTTTCAGAAGCAACAGCTATCATCCTCTTCTTGTTTCTAAATATAAGCAATATTTGTAAGTTGTCTTAAATTTTTGTGACAAATTTTCTATTTTGTCTCAATTAATTACTTATTTTAATACTTAATATTTATTATTTTATTTTTCAAACTATTATGTCTCTCCATCACACATGATCTCTCTTTCATAATTCTCATTATTATAATAATTTTCTTATTCTCTTTTTATACTCTCTCCCCCTATAAATAAAGGTATTTTGAAGAAAGAACTTTTAATTTCTGCAACATCCCAAAATTATGGGCTCTAAAGTATAGAAAGTTCTCTAACACAGAAAGGCTACTAAATCCCTTCTGACAAGAGTTTTAGAGGTTTCCTAGAGGGATAGAAAAATTCTCAGGGACTAAATCGTAAAGCGAAAATTTTTCAGGATTGAGAAAAGAGAAAAATAGAGACTCCAGTAAAGTCTCAGGTGGTCGAATATGAGGAATTAAGGTGATGAAGGGCTAGAGGTTATATTAAAAACCTTAGTAAGAAGATTCCTTACGCTAAACCTGTGCAGGGACCTAATCATAAATTTGAAAAGTTTCAGTTGGAAATAGAAGTGATGGAAAGTGAGCCTAAAAATTCCCAAAAAAAATAAAAATAAGGTTTTGAGGCCCGTATGAGGCTAAAAATAACGAAAATACCTCTAGAGCAAATTGATGAAATTCCTAGGGTTTTGACTAATTATGAATATTAGTGAAAACTGAATTATTTAAATATGAGGGGACTTCAGATAATTGAAGAAAAATGGAAAGCAATACTTGAGAAATTATCATAGGTTTTAAAAATAATTTCGTCCCTAAAAAGCAAAGAGGTTGGCTTTAATAGAATTTAAAGTCTATTTATACACTATTTAGGGAAAGTCAAAATAAATTGTCTATGAATTGACTTTTAACTTGAGAAAAATTTCTCGTGATAAATAAATAGTATTAGTACCCAAAGACAAATTCTTGGAGTTGTGAACCGATAGAAAGAATTTGGTCAAATTTACTTCAAAATAAATATTATTAATTGTTTTAATGAGAAAACAAGGAAAGAGTATCACTTCCTCTTTAGACATGCTATATAATGCCATGTGAGGCTAATTATAATTAAAAAAAAAAAGGGTACCAGAGCATGTCTCGGGGTTGCCAAGTAAGTCAGAGACTGCATTTTGCATGAATTTCCTACTAATTTTCTCCCTATTTTAATGCCAAATTAATGAAGGGACATGGATAAAATAATACACTTTGTTAAAGGTTAAGTTTGGAAGAATGGAATTATATAATAAAATATTATGTTTTCTTTACATGTGGGATCATGTGTCCCTTGAAGTGGCATTCATATTAAATAAAGAGGATACTTAAGAAGGCTAAGAGTCAAGAACCAAGATGATAAGGGACGCATGGCAAATAGGTTAAATGAATGGCTAAGATCAAGCCCCACACACACAAGATTAAGGGCTAGGATTTGAGCAAAATTTCTATAAATACCTTCTCTTCCCATTTAGGCCAAGTTTCAGCCAACATAGAGAAAGGAAAGGGAGAGACCGAATTGAAGGAGAAGAAGGAGAAGAGAAAGAACAAGGGAAACCAAGCAAGATCAAACTCCAAAACAAGGTATGTTCATGGTTTTTGATATAATTTCTATTACCCTTGTTGTTGTTGAGCTTAGTTATGGGCTTTGTTAGATTTTAGAAGCTTGAAAACCTAGGGTATTGTGCTTCATGAAATCGATTGAGTAAGAACAAGATGAAATTGATGTTAAAACAATGTTTAAAAGCTTCAAAGGAATAAGAATCAAGTGGTTTTGTGATGAGATTGCAAAAAATCCAACTTCCCCCAACTTGGGTGAATTTCGGCCAAAGCTAGGGTTCTTTTTAGAATTGGATTTTGATGATTTTGATGCTTCTAATGAGTTTAAAATGAAAATTTATGTGGGATAAAATTGAGAAAACAAGTTTGGAAGTATTAGAATTGAAAATAAAATTTTTGCCCTAAAACCCTATAATGTTCGGCCAAGTTGAGTTGAAGGAGAAGGAATTAGATTTTGTTTAATTTGAGCTTAGAAATGAATTCTACATGCAAAATTAAGGGTCAATAGCATGTGGGATTAAATTTAGAAAGACTTAAAACCAAATTCAAAAGTTAGAAGTTTTTAATGTGAAGTTAAAGAGGATTAAATATCAATGTGTTTATTTGGAATTGAGAATGCCTTCTTGAATGCTTGATGGGCATTAGGTATTGGCAAAAGGAGAGCTAAAAAACAAGGAAGGGAGGCAAGAATTAAGGGTTCAAAAAGGTAGCAAGAACCTATAACTTATTGCTAACTTGCTTTTTGTATTGTATGCTATTTATGTTATGTCATAAGGTGGTTAAGCTAGATATGTTATGATGTATGAAACTCCTTGCACTTGATGCCTTGGTAATATATATAGTTGAGTTGTAAAATGGAATAGTATGATGGCATGCTCTCTTTCCATGGTATGGTAATGAAATTATATGCATGAGATATGCATAATGTGTAAAATGATGCATGAGATGTACATTGATGTATAGCATGGCATGCATTGCGTTGTTGACATTTTGTTGTGGTTTATTACTACTGAAATTTCCTCCGAAATCTCACCCCTTCCATGTTTATATTATACCATCTAGGGGTCAAAAATTCAAGTGGCAAAGAAATAAAATGGAATTGGCATGAGGTACTCCTTTGATTAATGATGAATCATGTTCTTGAAACTTGTTTTGTATAATTTGTAAAAGTTATGTATGAATGGTCTAATAGCTATGCAGTGAGGCAAAACATAGCTAATTGTATTTATATGCCATTATATTTGAGTTATGATTATATGATTTGAGAAAAGTAAGAATTCTCCAGAAATGACATAATGAGGGATAAAAATGACCTAATAAGGGTCTAATTTGGTCACCACGTGAATCTGGGTAAATGGTGGAGATTGACCATGAATTTTAGCAGACTGTTAGACCTCATTCTAAGTTTTAAAATGAGTGGTAATTTGTTAAAATTAGAGTTTTGTTCTAAAAGTTATGCCTATCCAAAATTAAGTATAAATTTAAAAAAATTAAAAATGACCAAATAAACAGTACTGTTTGGCTTAAAACTGGAACTGAATGGCAAGGTAATGAGACTAATGAGTATTTTTCTCACGCAGACAATTAATAGAGCTTAAAATAGAGCTTGGAGTCATTGCATTTTGTTTTTTTTATAATTAGTTATGATTTTTAAAGTTGACCAAATTTTAAAAGTTGCTGTAGATAGTAACACA